AAATAAAGATGACAGGACTTTCAGTGATTACTTTCTTTCTGTATACTGAGGGAGCTAAGAACAGCATTTGAACAAGAATGAAAAGGCGGAGGATAAGCAGTTTTCACCAACAGTCCTCATTACCAGATAACAACAGTGAATCTTAACCTTCATCTTATGATGTCTTTGTTGAAGTCATGTGAAAGACYCAAATCACAAAATGTAAAGGAACAAAATAAACGTTCAATGCACAAAGTTCCCTGGCCTGCAAAGGAAGAGTAGACACTGTGCGTTGTGGTGTGCCTTCTGGCATAAGGACAATTGGTGTTCAAGTACAGTTYTCTACTTCCCTCTCTCCAGCACCAGGGCAGATTCCTAAGCAACAATCTGCTAAATGGTGATGCTCCCCTAAATCCCCTTAGTATTTGAAGATCCTGTTTCACTTTGACAGCCCATAATCCTCTTCTTTTTAACACTCCTATAGAACCTATAGACTAAAGTTCCTCATCTAGCCCTTGATTAGTTACTGGATTRTATTATATAATATGTAAGTTTGACCTTCTCCATCCAGCATGAAAGCTCTTGGCTATGTCCTGTACTAAATGTAAACTTAACCCTCTCACAAGCACCTTCAGAGCCAGACACCATGTATAGCTTCCACATCTTTTTGTTAGCTGATAGACTTTTTGCTTTTTAACTCTGATTTTAAAAACGCATATTTATTATAAAAACCAAATTAAAAAAAGTTTAAAGACAAAGAAATCCTCAATTCCYTTTCCTGACAGCTAATCATTCACTAGAATTTGCTATATAGCCTTTCAAAGTTTTGCTTAGATATATTAAAAATACATAAATTGTAAAAATTGGGATTGTGCTCTGAAATCATCCTAAAAGTTGTCCTTAAAAGACCAAAAAATTCTCAGTGGCTATCATAGAAAGAATTCCGACAATGCATATATGTATCTATTCATTATTTTTTCTCAGTTTCATACTCTTCCATTGTTTGAGTACTTCATAACTTTTTTACCCAGTTTCAAAATCATAGACTAAATAAGAAACTAGCTCCTTTGCCATTCTAGTGAAGATAAGCTTTCACAGGGAAGGCATAGAAAATCCACTTTTGTGACTCCTTAGTGGCTTAGAGGATCTAGGGTACAGGGGAAACTTAAATGGTGGTGGGGTTCTGGAGCCTCCCTCCCTCCCTCTGATCTAGAAACAATATACTGCCATCTCAACGCCGTGGGTCTCTCAAGAACTCGGTGTGCAGATTGTGACCTTAACTATTTTGGCACAAAGGGGTCAAATCAAGTGCAGCTTCATGCTTCCCAGGGGAGTTTAACTACTGAACTACATCTCTAGCCTTTTTTAAAAAATTGTTTTAAAATTTTGAAACAGAGTCTTGCTGAGTTGCTTAGGCTGGCCTCAAACTTGCAATCCTCCTCTTGGGAGTTGCTGGGATTATAGTCATGTACTACCATGCCTGGCCTGAAGCCCAAATTTTAAGAATTAGTGTTGTATTGTGATTTGATAGATATGTCACAGAAAAAGTTGGGAAATAATGCTTCAGGGAATTGTCACTCAATTCGAGAATAGTTACAATAGATAGCCTAGAAGAAAAACTGATTAATCCCTTCACTTCTCTCTCTCTCTTTCTCTTTTTCTTTGCTGCTGTTGTTCTTACGCTTCAGTGTCTTCACTTTATATCCTTCTTAAATCCTATCCCTACCTAACCCCTCTTCCTTCTGAAGGTGTGGAGTTTTTAAATAAAGATATGTCAATCAAATGTTTTTACAGATTGTGGGAATGCTAGATAGTGGCAGGGCCAAGTTGCTACACTGGGAAGACCAGAAAAGGTGAAAAGGGTAAGTGAGATACAGAACGAGGARAAGCTGCTTCCCGTAGTCACACCTGACTATCACTCAGAATGTGTGGAACCATGCTTAACTCTGCAAATGGGGAAGGCCCCTTTGGTTAAGTGGTACTGTGCTATCCTGTGTAAGCAATTACCAGCCCAGTCACATCAGTTTTGGCAATCAGTCATTTTCTGGATGCCAAAGACGTCAGAGGGAACATCTTTGGGTTGAAGGGCTAGCAATCCATTTTATACAGAAGATTTAATTGGTCTCTCTCAAAAACAAATTAAAATTAAAGTTCGGTGGTTCAATTTTTCCCTCCCAGAAAAGTTAGTAAAAGGAGAAAAGAAAAAGGAAAAGTTAGTACTGTGAAGTTTTGACATTTTGGTTTTAATGTAGGTATTTTAGTGGAAACAGCAAGTAAGTAAGTCCATGCTTTAGGGGAAAACTAACCAACTTTGGTGGAGGGGAGGATGGAGGCAGAAATACTTCTATACCCTCGCCTGTTCTAGGCCCTACTGCAGCCCTAAATCTGGCTGTGAGCTGGGGATGAGAGCATTTTGCACATGTAGTGCTGAAATCTGTTCATCTGTAACATGAAGGGATTTAATTTGTTAATCTCCAAGGTCCATAATATCAGATTAGCAATTTGCTGAAAAGATTTTTGTAGAGGTTTTTTTTTTTTTTTGGTACTGGGGATTGAACTCAGGGGCACTTGAACACTGAGCCACATGGTCAGCCCTATTTTATATTTTATTTAGAGATAGGATCTCACTGAGTTGCTTAGCACGTCAGTTGCTTGCTGAAGCTGGCTTTGAACTTGCGATCCTCCTGTTGCAGCCTCCAGAGCTGCTGGGTTTTTAGGTATGTGCCTGGCTGATTTTTGTAGGTTTTAGGTAGGCATTTGTTAAACAAGTTGTAAACTTATTTTAGAATTAAATGAGAGCAGAAAAGGATACTTTTGCATTACCTGTCATGTCTCAATATGGGTGTAGGCAACACGCTTGTCAGGAGCCATCCAAATTCAGCCAGAGTGTGTAGCAGAGGGCCATAATCTGTTTTGATTTCACAGCCCTGCATAAATAAGCATAAGAGTTCACAATCTAACGGCAAAGACAGTTACATAAGTAAATTTCAGTTACACAAGTAAAGCCAGTTACACAAGTAAATCTGACAAGGTTGATGGGTATTATGACAAAGGAAGTTCATTCTCTATTATGTACAATTTCATGGGGCTGCCAGATTACTGGGTTCATTTTCTGCTACTGCTGCCTTAAAACTATTGAACCAAGTTAAAAATGCTGGGAATGGGGCTGGGGATGTGGCTCAAGYGGTAGCGTGCTTGCCTGGCATGCACGGGGCGCTGGGTACGATCCTCAGCACCACATAAAAATAAAATAAAGATGTTGTGTCCACTGAAAACTAAAAAATAAATATTTAAAAAAAATGCTGGGAGTGGAGAGTGGGAGTTTGGATCTTCCTTTGGTTTTGATAGAGCATGGGGACTGATAATCTACATTTAAAAAATTTTTTATAAAATGATTTACAGTAGAGAGGGTAGAGAGAGAAGAGGGGAGGGGAGGGGAGAGGAGGGGGGATAGTAGAGAATACGATAGACAGCTGAATACATCAGACACTAGAATGGCAATATGTAAATCAATGGAAGTGTAACTGATGTGATACAGCAATCTGTATACGGGGTAAAAATGAGAGTTCATAACCCACTTGAATCAAACTGTGAAATATGATATATTAAGAACTGTGTAATGTTTTGAACTACCAACAATAAAAAAAATTTTTTATATACACAATGGAATATAACTTAGCCTTAAAGAAGAATGAAATTATGGCATTTACAGGTAAATGAATGGAGCTGTGGAATATCATTCTAAGTGAAATAAGCCAAATCCAAAAAACCAAAGGCCAAATGTTTTCTCTGATAAGCTGATAATGATCCATATTGGGGCATGAGGGAAGAATGGAGGAACTTTGGATTTGGCAAAAGGGGAGTGAGGGGAGGGGAGGAGGTGTCAAGGTGGGAAGGATGGTGGATTGAGACAGACATTATTACCCTGTACACATATGGGATTACATGACCCATGTGACTCTGTACCATGTACAGCCAGAAGAATGAGAAGTTGTGCTCCATTTGTATACAATGTGTGAAAATGAATTCTACTGAAATGTATGACTAATTAGGACAAATTTAAGAAATTAAAATAAGATAGTAAACGTAAAAAAAAAATTCTAGGGGATTTGGATGCAAGTACTTTATGAAGCATATTTAGGGGAATGAGGATGAAAGTTTGGAGTGAGGACTGAGTAGTGAGGGAGGGAGGAACTTGGCTGTATTTTTTTTTTTTTGCTGCTTTTTATTCATTTGGAATTTGTTTTTTAAAACTGAAAACTTCACTTCTTCCCCTCAAACCTCCCCCACGCCCAGTGGGATTTCTAGTCACTTTGAAAATGGGCTATGTCTCTCTAACCTTTGTAAGGCTAGGAAGACACAAGTGTCACTGTAGGAGCCCATCAGCGAGGGCCATATACACATAACAGAGTATACCTGAATTCAGTCTGTCCACCTCAAGGGCAGTCCATTCGGTGACATCTGAATTCAGAGTGCATAACATCAGCAGCAATGTCATCTCTGATTATGAAGGACAATGCTGTGTGTACATATTTGGCCTGGTAAGAAAGAGAACACCTTTCGGATATTTTTGCTTTCAAAAGTCAATTCATAAACTTAAGAAAAGTCAGTCACATTGGTTGCTTGGAGAGAAAATGCTTAGTTGAGTGACTGAATTTTTTTTTTTTTTTTTTTTTTTTTTTTGCTTTCAACCAGTTGTCATGGCATTGTGTAAAGAGAATCTCAGTGCCAGGAGACTGTGTTTAGGGTGAGAATTCCAAGTTTTTGGAACCTCCTGCTATTTATGTAGAGATTTTATTTTGCTATCTTACAAAAAATTAGCATTGAAGAAAACACATTACTTTCAACATTGGGTAAAGGGTATGAAAGAAATTTTTTATGCATTTGTGATAAAATTCCAAACTATGGTCAAATCTGTGTTTAAGGATTCTACATGTTTCAGCAATGAAGGTCTCCAACATGTGAAATAAATATAAAGGTAAGGGTAAAATGTTAGAGACTGCAGCTCACCTCAATGACAGTCCATTGTTCTACTACAATGGCATCATTTCCTTTCCTGTTAGAACCTGGAACGCCAGAGCCTTCTTCTTCATAGATAAAAAATCCTTCCAAAGATTTAGGCAAATGGTCCCCTGTGAGGAAAAGAATACAATTAAGAAGAGTTATAAATATTAAAAGATTCTAAAGATTGTCTAAGTCCTTAAGTAATACTTATAGGAAGCTGGGAGAAAAACATTTCAGTTAAAAACATATCACTTAAAAACATATTTTGACTGAATCAAACATTCTTTTTGAAGGTTTTCTTTTCCTCCTAAAGGCAAAGACAATTTTGTACTTCACTGAATTAAAATCAAAGTATCCACATTAAAACTATGGTTACAGAAATAGGATTAAATAATGTGATACAATGAGAAACGAGTAGAAAATAAACCTAAAAATCATCTGGAAATGATCTTTAGCTTGAAATCAAATTTTGGTTTCTGCTCTACATGTTATGTTATACTCTRTGACAAACAATATAAACATTAATTCTTTAAATTGAAGGTATGATATTAAAATCAGTGCAAGGCAAATTCTTTAAGAAATACAAACAGAACAATTCTTTACCTCAATGATGCATTAAAAAAAGAACACCCCAAAGCCCCCAAAATAAACAGTGACAGGAAGACCCTAAACAGAAGTCATTGTCAAAAGAATTCCTGCTGGGAAGGAAGTTTTAGGGGAGGGCCTCTCTGACTTTTTCTTAAATAGCTGACAATAACCAGCTGGCCTAAACCAAACTGACTTTGTAGACTTTCTTTTGTCTCTTGTTTTGCAATGGAAGACATTTTTCCCATGGTCATGTGAGGGTTAAACATGGTTTTTATGCAGCACAATGTCACAATGAAGTTTCCCTGGTTGACAGTTCTCTAAATAATAAAGGACTTCAATATTTTCAAATGACATTTTAAGCTTAAAGATAACATGGGCAAAAGTAATTTCAGTATGATTTTCTGTATTAATTTTCATTAACAGGCTATTGAACTTTTAGATAAGTAAGACATTCTTACTTTTTTTTAAACATCACTCATATTTAGGGTAGAATATCACAAAGAATTTATATTTTTCGGATTTGTGCCCGAACAAAGTAACAGTTAATTCACTAGTTGGAATTGGTTCTCTACTTACAGTATATGTACCACCTCCTTTAAATTTACTTATCTACCATTACAGCAAAGTAACTAGCAGAATCAAATCCAGACAATTTTTAAAGTGGTATATGCCCTAAGTCCTTTTTTGGAATTGGGGGTATGAGTTTTAAAAATAATTTTTACTGCAATAATTATGTGGATCATTACAATCTACCTTTTATTTCCGTTGGGATTATGTAATATGAAAATCACAGGTGTTGTGACTCAATATTATGATACATAGTATTTCTGTACTTTTTAGGTTTTAAAGAAAGAATGAAATACAACACAATACTAAATGGAAATTTACAAAAGAGACTCAGTGTTATGCAACTACGTAGATGAATTGCAGAGATACTATGGTGAATAAAAGAAGCTAGTTTCAAAAGAATATACTCTGTAGAGAGTATTCAACTGTGTGAGGATCAAGAAAAGGCACAATTGATGATGATGATAAAGCAGAATGATGTRTATTTCTGAGATGGGAGGAGAAGGGCTGAGAAGGAAGGGTCATGGGAAGACCCTCTGAGATGCCAGGAATATTCTATATTTTGTGCCTATTCCACTGTAYACATAAGATCAATGCACTTTACTATGTGTATGTTGCATGTCAGTTAAAAATAAAGGTCCTTTCTTGTTTTAAAGGTCCCCAGTGCCCCTAACTAGCTCTCATAGGATCTATACCAGGCTCCAGAACTACTGAAGTCTGACACTTCCACAGGAGTGAGTTCTGAAGATTTCTTAAGACATTCTCCCAGAAATGGCAGCTAGGGATGGTGGCAGGGAAGGACCTATGAGGACTTTACCTTTTGATTGTTCAGTGTTAAATCTTTGAGCTGACAGGGAGAGATGATAATTCTGAACAATTGCCTAATAACTGTCTCCTCAGGGGAATCACCTGTTAACATTACACAATCCAAAGCAAACTTTCTAACCAATGTGCCTTGGCCCACTAGTGTCTGAGACCAAAGTGACAGGTATGCCAAAATACAGGGCACCACCTCCTRCCCAGAGCAGCTTCATCCACTCATACCCATGTGCCTTACAGTTGTACCATTTTCCRTGCATGTGATATGAAAAAATTACAAAGCACTGGCCTGACTCATTGTTTCTCAACAACAATAAAAAGATTTTTAGCCAAATACTACCACTAGCAAATGAAAGTGATATTGTATCCTTGAAGGATGATCTCCAAGCACAGTTGAAATGATCCCTTTCAAAGTCTAATGTTATGTCTTAAAAGTGCACTCAGACTTTGCATTCATGAGGCTGGGGGGCAGGAGGATCACAAATTTGAGGACAGTCTGGGCAAAACATCCTGTCTTAAAAAAAAAAAAAAAAAAAAAAGTTCTGTGGATGTAGCAGAGTACTAAAGCACCCTGGTGTTCAATCCTTAGTACCTAAAACAAAACAAAACAAAAAAACAAACCAAACCAAACCAAACCAAAACATCCAAAACCAAAAAACAAAACTTCACACTCTGTTCAAATATATTCATGTTATCTAAAAAAGAAAATCTCTTCCATTCTACCCCCATCTTTAAGTAACATTGACACTCTATAAGAGATTTATCTTGCAAATTTGTGAACGTGAATACCCCCTAGGACAAGGATGCATATCCTGAGAATACCTTGGTTAGAAATATTCAAGCTTGGAGGATTACCAAGGAATGGTTTGTTAGATGTGMAATATTATATATTCATTTTAGCTAGGTATGACATTGACATTCCTCTAAATGTAAGAAAAGATAATATTTCATTTAGTATTTTTGGTCCATGTGTCATTTGTGTTATTAAATTGTCCAGGGGGTGGGCCCAGGACCATCTTTGAAGTGGAGAGCAGGCACATATGCTGTCATTCTGCAGTTCCAGTATGTCATTTTGTTTCCAAAACAAATCTCAGCTTATCTACTTCTCTCCATCTCTACCATCATCTCTCTAAAGATTTTTAATATCCTCTAAACAACCTTACCACTTCCACTCTTGCCCTTGGTGATCCAGTTCCTGAAATGAGATTGAATAATTGTCTTTAAAAATGCAAATCATATCATGATTCCCTCTTCAAATACTCAACAAATGAATTGAAATAAACATCCTGGCTTGATGGTTAAGAGCACACACTCCACCTACGTGGCCCTACCCTTTCTAGTTGTGTAAAAATGTGCTCATTATTTAATACCTGTGTGCCTCCRTTTCCTCACATGTAAAAGAGGAATAATCATACCTTATCTCACAGGGTTGCTGTGGGGATTAAAAGAGTTGGTCAATGTTCAGTATTTGGAACAATGCAGGCGTATACTAAGTACATCTTACGCATTAGCTCTTGTTATTGCTTTTTTGACAGTACAAGACTGCATAGACTGGCTGYTGCTTGCCTCTTCCACTTTGTCTAGGGCCATTTTTTTCTCTTACCTATCCTGCTCTAGCAACATAGGTCTTCCCCTGATTCCTCTTTCCTGCCCTCTGGTCTTTGTGCATTTGGAGGTGTTTCTGCTGCCTAGAATGCTCCCCTCCTGGTTCTCACAGGCCCGCTCCTTTCTAGTACCCTAATCTCAGGGTAATTACTACCTTCTTGGACAGGACCTCCTGACTACCCCTTCAAGTAGGTTCTCGTCTGGTACTCTTGCCACAGTCCTGTTTCCTAATTTTTAAATTAGGTAAATACATTTTTGATACCTTCATAACCAGTGTCTGATGCCGCATGCTAGTTTCTGAGTGTAGCACAGACATCCATTTTACTCATTATTGTAAACCCAGTGCCTAACACAGGGCCTGTCATAAACATACATGTAAAATAAGGAAATACACGTTTCAATGTTATTACTTCATCTCGCTCTTCAGTGTGATACTTTGAAATGAACATCAAGAGAAGTCTGAAAAGAGTTCACAAAAAATCAAAATGTAGGGCTGGGGATGTGGCTCAAGCGGTAACACGCTCGCCTGGCATGTGCAGGGCACTGGGTTCAATACTCAGCACCACATAAAAATAAAATAAAGATGTTGTGTCCACCGAAAACTAAAAAATAAATATTAAAAAAAAATCAAAATGTAGCCCTAAGAGGTAGCACACTAAGGTGGAGAAGGACTATGCTCTGAAATGATGGGGGCATTTGGTAGGCTAGGGAAGAGTAGGAACTTCAGGGGTGTGTGTGTGTGTGTCTGTGTCCCAGGGGCTTTTTAAAACAGAAAAGGCGTTCATAGTAAGTGTAAAAGGACATCACACAGGAGTTTCACAGCTCTTACAACTTTTACATCATAATCCTGCTAAAGTAGAAAACTTTAAAAAAGAGTTTCCCCCCTCTCTTTCTATATCTAGGGAAAGCTATTTTATTCAGTGTGATTTGTGAGGTAATATATTTAAATTTCTGAGCAATGTCTGGATTTGTACTTTCATTTCTCATGGTGAGCTGATTTCTGACAGTATTTGGGAAGAGGACAAAAACAAGATAGAACAAAATAACATTGTCTCCTATGTGCTTTAGATGTCAGGCATCAAACATCCCAGAACAAAGCAACCAATTCAGCCCTGCTTCCTCTGTCTTGCTTCTCACAGCGACACAGACATTGGTCACAATTTCCCCTCTGCAGCTTCCCTGCATACTCCTAGGGAAGTCCTGAATGACACACCCAGTGGCCAGACCCCACAGACTGAGGTGGCTTGGTAGGGGCTTGGCATAGTGTGCAATGTAAAATGTCTAATGAGGCATTCCAGAGCTGCTGAGGGGGGAGAGTCTCCCCGGGGGCTTTCTAAATAGTTCTGAGGCTTTTAGAACAAAAGCCCCACAGAGTCTCTGGTTGGCAACTGCTGTGGCTAATTTTATTTTCATCAGGCAAGGCCCATGGCAGGGGTGCCTGAGGGAGACTGTGAAGAGTATTTTCGGTTTTCCTTAGGCAATTAGTCACAAACCAAAATTTGAAATAGCTCTTAGACTCTTTGTGATGGTGGTGGGAGAGAGGGAGAGGAAGAGAGAGAGAGGGATAGATACAGATATTATAAAGCATAAAATTAACCTCCACAAAGATGATCTCTACTACAAGAATTAAACCATATATAACAAGTGGCAGGAAAAAAGAAAAAAAAAAAAAAAAGAGTTTAGAAAGTGAACTCTCACTGAAGTCTAGGTACCACAGGAGTTACTTTATCTACATTGTATCTTATTAACGTTCACATCAATAAAGATTATTATTATACTCCTTTTAGGAAACTGAAGCTTTGTGAATTCAACCTACTTCCCACATAGCAAATAAGTAAAAGACATAGGATTTAAGTCCTGGTCTTTCTGATTTTAAAGTCCATTTTCTTCCCGTTAAAACTTGCTATTTCCATATAAGACCAAGTGGAAGAACAGACAGATAACCAAAATCACTAAAATATATTTTTAAAAAATATTTATTTTTAGTTTTTGGTGGACACAACATCTTTATTTTATTTTTATGTGGTGCTGAGGATCGAATCCATGCCAGGCGAGCACTCTACCGCTTGAGCCACATCCCCAGCCCACTAAAATATTTTTTGAGCACTATGCCAGGAGTGATAATTCTAGGTGCTGCAATGGGCTTCATCCTTAATCTCAGTGCTAGTTCAAAAGACCTCCTGATAGTTTTTAGTATTCATCCAAAGTCTTCAACTGCATTTTACTGAGTTATTACTGGGCTGGTTTAACAATACTAAGTTGTATTGATCTCATTTACCTTTTCACTCTTTCCTCCAATGTTTTTGAGACAGGGTCCTAAGTCATACTGCTTTTCATAACCCTCATGATTCCTTATGCATTTTCTCAGTCTCCTTACTATCTTTTTTCTCCCTTTTAACAATAATTTTTTTAATTTAAATTTTTCTTTTAACACTAATTTTTCTCTCTTAATCATTTTAATGTTTCTCTAGAAAATCATTGTTGAGAAGCTTTTGTTGTTTGTTTTTATGATAGACATGAATAATTATGTATTCCTTTATAACTGAGAAAGGTTAAAGAAAGATAGAAGACAAAGAGGAACCGAAGTAAGAACAGGGTCACTTTCTAAACCAAAGATTACTTTTGTACACAAAATAGGTATGTATACACTGACTACATATGGTAGTAGTATCCAAAATTGGGATAATGTAATAAATGTTGACTACTAGCAGTTTAATGCCATCATAAACCTCATGACTAGGCTGTCATASAACATTGTGCTTGGAAAATTCCACTAGTCAGTCCCACAGTGATTTGTCTATTTGACAGTTGCAAACCAATGGCAAAGATTACATTACAATTCTACAGTGGGTTCTCAAGGATGGTTAAGCTTTTAAGTTGAAACTTCACAGCTATGTAATGAGTGGAAGAGTGGAATTTATTTCCTAACAATAAAATCTGTACTATAAGCTATAGAACTTTTTTTTTTGTACCAGGGATTGAACTTGGGGGTGCTTAATCACTGAGCTACCTCCTCAGCCCTTTTTATTTTTTATTTCAAGACAAGGTTTCACTAAAATGCTTAGGGCCTTGCAAATTGCTGCAGCTTGTTTTGAACTTGCAATCCTTCTCCCTCAGACTCCCTAGTCACTGGGATTACAGACACACACCTACGCCCCCAGCAAGCCATAGAACTTTAGAGGCAAAAATATTTTCAACAATTTTGATAAAAGTTCAAATTATTTAGATATAAGTATATCATTAATATAAAACTTACCTTTAGGTGTTTCCCAGCATACAAAAGAATCCATTAAAGACAAGCCTTGCTTATAATAAAATGTAGTTAACTGCAGCCAATCAGCATCAAGTGTACTAATGATAGATCCTTTTCTTGTTACTTTCATTGATAGGACTCCTTCCTGATAGGTCCAGCATGTTGAATCATCATCAAAAACATTGAAAACTATATACAACTTGTTATCTGGGGATAGACATTCAGAAGGATGCAAAGTTAAAATTTTATTTATCAAAGAGTCTTAAATCTTTTCTTTTTAACATGAGATATTTCAAGCATACAAACAAGTGTAGAGAATAGTAAAGAACCCATTACTGAATTTAATCAAATGTTAACATTATGCCTTACTAGCTTCACTCTCTTTTTTCACAGAAATGAGAAATGCATACAGTTGAGGCTACTATGTAGTATAATGAATTTGGTGTTTATCATTTTCATGAAAGCTTCCATTCTTTTAATACACACTTATATATTCATATGATATTGTTTTGCAGCTTAATTTCTTTTTATTTAAATAGTACCATACTGTAATATATCAATCTGTAAACTGATTTTTGTGTGTGTATGTGGCTGGTTCAATACCCAGGGCCTTGTGCATAMTAGGTAAGTACTCTACTACTGAGCTATAATCTCAGCCCTGCACGTTGATTTTTTTGGTTCAACATTATGCCTTTGAAATCTAAATAGTTATATCAATTAATTCTTTTATTTTAACTGATTCATGGTATTCCAGTTAACATTTTTTTTTGTACTGGAGATTAAACCCAGAAGTGCTTTATCATGAAGCTATATCCCTAGTCCTTTTAATTTTTTTATTTTGAGACAAGATCTTGCTAAGTTGCTTAGGGCCTTGCTAAATTGCTGAGGCTGGACTCAAACTTGTGATCCTCCTGCCTCAGTCTCCAAAGTCATTAGGATTACAGGTCTGTGACTATACTCCTTTCGATGGACATTATTTCCAATATTTTGTTTTTAACAAACATTTTTCATATATCCTTGGACCATGTGTGAGAGGGGCTAGAATACATGCTTAGATATGAAAATGGTGGGTCGTATCTTCTGCTTTACTAGAAATTGGCAAATTCTTAATTTGGGGCTAGGGACCCACACCCATGGTTATGTTTCAGGAGGTTTAACATAACTTGTTTTACAACAAAAGTATTTGAATTTCATAATATACTCCAAGAGGTCTTTAGCATATTTCCTCAACCCCCTATCTCCTCTTAAGAGCTCCTGCCATTGAAAGTTATTAAGTACATAATTTAAAAATATTTAGAAAGCATACTCTAAAGATAATTAAGTAGTATATTGGACTCAGGACTTGAAGAACTAGAAATAGACACTTGATCTGATCAAATAGGGTGGGAACCAACATGGAATTTAAAGGTAGCAGTGGGAGGAAGATTGAGAGTAGCTTTCTGACCACTGACAACTCTTATATTCCATTAATTTTCACACTGCAGGAAAAATAATGGTTGTTAGTTAGGAAAATGTGAAAAAAAGGGAAGGTTTCTGGAGGTTGAATGAGGTGATAAGTTGGGAAATGTTGCCCATTCTTTCCTCAGGAGATTGTGCTAATGTGGTCTAGTGTATCTTTGCTATGCACAGGATGTTGACAGTATCTCGTCATAACCCAGAAAGGCCATGGCTCCACTATGCACCCCTCCAATGCCAACAATGACCAGAAGATCAGCTAAGAGTAGTTGCTTTACCACAGAGTTTATTCTGTGCTCTGCACAAGGCTAAGCACTTTGTAGATAGTTCTTATTTACTTCTTATAACAATCTAATGAGGGAGGTCTTACAATTATCCCCCTCCTTTTTAAAGAAATATTCACTTATTTTTTTAGTTTTAGGTGGACACAATATGTTTATTTTACTTTTTATGTGGTGCTGAGGATTGAACCCAGTGCCTCATTCATGCTAGGTGAGTACTATACCACTCAGCCACAACCCCAGCCGCCCCCCACCTTTTTTTTTTTTATAAAGAAATTGAGGTATCTGACTTCAGTGCCCATGCTATTAACTCAAAGGTATACAAAGTCTTTGATTTTCTTTGATAGTGCTTTTAAGAAGGATGCTGAAAAGTCATCACAAAACTTTAAAAAGTCCAAAATRAAGGAATAAAATATTCTCAATTTCTTGGGAAAACTTGCTATTTGGCAAAGAAGAATAAAACTATTGTTTGAAGTTATTCTAGGCTGTGGGTACTATTGTTATAATAATTGTTTCATCATGATGGGCCATTGTCATATGTTAGTTGCTGACCAAAGAAAGTCAATTAATTTCAAAGATGAAAATCATCCATGAAATGAGAAAGGCTCAAACTAAATTTCTCATGCATTGTTTATAAGGACAACAGTAAATACAGCTTCCTGATAGACTCACTTCTTCAGGCACACATACAACCCTCCATTTCACAAGGGAGTTTTGTATGACTATATGAAAATCAATCTTAAACACAGTTTCATTATATGTATCATTTGCTAGGAAGAACTGCAGTCTAAAATGCTGTGCTGTCTTATCTCTGGCTGAAAAGATCTTTTTAAAATCATGACAAAATTTATATTAGCTCATTTAGTCTTTATACTCTTTATAATTTTACTTTGCCTTGTATTTTTTTTAAATAAAACCTCAAATATGTATTTTTCTAAATTTAAACTACTCATGGATTACCTTCTCCCTTTCTTAGTTTAGAGGAGCTGGGGCTGTCATTTTGTTCCATTTGATACTGTCCACTTTCATGATGAAGTTCTTCTTCAATTCCACTTTCAGACGATTGCCCACTTAATGTTCCTTCATTCCAACTTTTACAGTTCTCATCTGAACTGTGTCTCACATGCAGCATTGATTCTATATCTCCATCATAGTTGGTTCCATTACAGTATTTAGGTGGTGGATAATGCTGTGATATGAATCCAACAAATTTCATTCCTTTTTTAGCAGCAACATTAATCTGAGGTTTGAAAAGAGATGGCAGAACAAGATGTAAACTCCATTTGCACTGAATATCAATTAACCCTTAGCTTTATGAAGGAAATCCATTAGAAGATTGAGTAAGTTGACCAGTAACTAAAGACCCATTATAAATTAATTAATAACCCTTAAAACAGCACTCCAAAGGTTAGAGCACATTATCATCATGATTTCTTCAAACATARCTAATGTACTTTATACATTATAAAAGGAGGAGCTATGTTTTTCTCTGAAAGGCCACGGTTGGGAAGAACTTGAAATTTTTATAGCATGATCTTTAGAGGCCATGAAATAAGATCTTTCCAATTGGAGCAAAATTAAAAACTATTCTAAAGGCTGGGGTTGTAGATCAGTGGTATAGCGCTTACCTAGCATGTGTGAGGCACTGGTTCAATCCTCAGCACCACATAAAAATAAGTAAATAAAATAAAGGTATGTGTCCATCTACAACTAAAAAAAAAAAACGATTCTAAAAATCTCCACAAGTAACCAAATACATCTTCATTATGGGAAAATTAATTTAAAAGCAAAACTCATGCAGTACTCTATGTGTGGTAAAGAAAAGTGTACTTGWTCCATGTTGATAAAGAAAAACATTATAAGACTAATGTGTTCATACAGATCATAAGCCCAATTCATAGCACAATTCTTCTGAAGCTTTCTGAGTTCATAGGCATTTGCTTATGTACTTATGCTTATATACTTACTAAGTATCTGCTAACACTGTATCTTGGTATTGTTGTCTCCTATCTGGGCCAAATACTAACAATTAGATTCAATCCTATCAATTAAAGAATAGGATTTTGAAACAGTTGATTTAGTTTTCATTTAAATGCATACTACCAAAAACCTAAGGCATTTTCTTTTCTGCTTTTCCTTCATTTCTTTATTCTCTTTGTGTCTATGCCTTTCTCCTTTATTCAACTGGCAAGTCTTCTGAGAGCAGAGGTTGGGTCTTATTCATCTTTGTTTTGCAGTGTTTTGTAGTTATAGGTGCTCCATAAGTACTTGTTATATAAATTAAAATAAAAGATAAGCAATGCCTTTTATAAGATTACCATTACATGTTTTAAATGTTACCTGGGAAGGTGAGAAGGGTTATGATGGAGATTTCAAATGGAAACATCTATAGTTAGAATGAAAAAGGCCAGGAAGATCTGGGGGAAAAATCAAGAGCCCAATCAAAGAATGAAATTTAACTCAACATCAGATGAAGAGGCAGGAAAATTTGAGGAGGGGGGAGGCTATGATGGTGTGAAGTCAGACAAAGAACTATGGTTGGCACAAACTCATTTATTCCTATAAATTAATATATTAAACTTATAACGGTGCATTAAACCTTAAAAAATTAACCACAAAACTTCATTTTTATCAGGGGTCCTGGAAGAGAAGGGGGGGAGGGTTGGGTAAGGAGGCATAGCATTTTGCAGGTGGAAGTGGGTGAATTTATTACCTGTGTTTTCTTCTAAGTTGATTTAAGTTAGATTTTTCTATTACTAGAAAATCTTATTTGGAAAGGTCTGGTAACAAATATAGTATTAATGTCCTTTCCATTTTTTAAGTTGGATGATTGATATTTTTAAAATGCCATTTTAATTTCAAAATTCTGAGGTGAGGGAAACACTTGAAAATCTAATTTTAAAAACAGTAAACATTGGTATAATGTTTAAGCTTGATGTGAAAGCTAAATGTTCAACTATCAACTCTACATAAGGCAGCCATTCAAAAATAATATTTGGCACTCACATATTGCTGTTGTTCATACTCAGGGCAATGTTCAAATATTTCATGTGSTATGTTTCCTGAAGCTTTTCTATTCATGAAATAACCCCATTACTCTAATTGCTGAAATAACAGTACTTTCCTGTTTAAAAAAATCTTTTACTGTGAACAGGAAGTCCAATGAAAACAAGGATTCTGATGGTGATCTGTTAAGTCTAAATTAGTAGCTACATTTTTGTTTTCAAAGAAGTTTTCTGGAGTGGATTTATTCCAGGGGGGAAAAAAAATCTCCCAGAATAGTAGCAGTAAACAGTATGTGTACTTTGTTTATAAAAAACCAAGACTCGAAGCTCATTCCTAAAAACCCTCATTGAATGTTTACTTTATACCTAAATGGGAAACATTATTAGCAGCTATAACTGGCTATACACAAACTACAGGTAATCTTACATACATGGTTATTTAAAGTATGTAAGCAATAACAGAAATAAATTTCAGTGACCTGAAAGGAAATGCCTTAGGTTTTTGGCTGTGTGCATTTAAAAGAAATTTATTTTTTAGTTACAGGTGAACACAATATCTTTATTTTTTATTTTATGTGGTGCTGAGAATCAAACCCAGTGCCTCACACATGCCAGGTAAGCGCTCTACCTCCGAGCCACAACCCCAGGCCATGGCTGTGTGCATTCAAACAAAAGCTAAAACCTTACACATAGATCAATGTGGCTAAAAAAAAAAAAACCTTCCCAAACCCCACAAAATACCACCAAATTTAGAATATTTATGAATACATACTTTTTTTTTGGTTTTAATCAACCTCAGTGTTCAACTTTTCATTTGTTTCAATTAACTTATATTGTCAGATATTTCATTCTTAACAATTAGTTGTTGCATTAAAGCCCATAAAATATTTGATTGTATTGATATACCACTGTTTCCTTGGGAAATCTTTCAGTTTTTGGAAATGTGATTCATTAATCACTGTTGATTAACTATCTCTGTACAGAAATGACTTTTTTTCCTTTCAAGTATTTTCTTGCAGTAGCCTCYTAACGAGATTACCAGGTTAGAAAATAAAGTAGAATTTATGATTCTTATTACTAAGTTGATAATAAACTATCAATTTATTATAATACCAGTTGCAAAATGATCTTTTTTTCTTAAAGTTTTGCCAATTCTGGATTTAATAATTTTATTTTTCCAGTTTAATGCTGGTGATGTGTTAATTCTTGGTTTTATTTATTTATATTAAAGACTGTTAGGTTGAATCTTTTGCCAGCTCTTGTTTCCATTTGCATGTGCTGTCTACAGGACTCTGTCTATTTAAGACTGGACATTTCTTTAGTGTATTTATATTTATTTCTGTATATTTTGAAAGAAGCTCTGATATAAAACATTTGTTGCAGATTTCACCTTGATACTTTTTTAAAAGTTAATTTTTCTGTATATAATTCATTTATACTTAAATTCCTAAATTTATTCATAATCTATTTCTCATCTGAAATGTGTAGAATCTATTTTATATAGAATGACTGCTCACTTTCCCAGTAGAATTTATTAAATAATGGCTATTCTGGGACTGTGGTTGTGGCTCAGTGATAGAGCACTTACCTCGCGAATGTGAGGCACTTGGTTCATCCTCAGCACTACATAAAAAAATAGTTATTTTTAAAAAATGGCTATTCTTCCATTTTTTTATTATCAGGCTTGTCATTAAGTTTTCTGTATGTGATTAAATTTACTTCTGGTATCTTCTGTTTCACAGGCCAGTATTTCTGTTTTTAACACGGTACAATTTAGTTCAAGTGCTTTAATACATTTTAAATTCTGGTAAATTGAGTTATCTATTATTTCTCTATCTTAAAGAAAAAAAGGAAAATTGGTAAAGAAGAAATACCAAACTTTTTCAACATCACAAGAAAAATGTATGTATTTAGTACCTTTTCTATCAGTTCTTTAGCTATGTCATTTGTTTGTGTCTCATAAGTTAGAGGACATTCCTCAATCACAAGTCTTGGGTGTCTCTGTACYCTGGGTGCTGCTGAATGCTTCGGGCTGTAACAGAGAGAATATGAAAATGAGTGAGAACTCACTAATAAGGTCCAAAACAATCTTTTTGTTGTTATTTCAAGTCTGATGACTATCTTCTCATATAAAAATATAAAAACACATAGTAACATCTACGCTGGTTTATAGGCGTGTGCCACYGCCCCAGGCCCTTGCTTATTTTCAACTTTGTTAGGGCACTTTAGATCTATTTGTGGGGCTAGGGTTGTGGCTTAGTGGTAGAGCACTTACCTAGCATGTTTGCGGCACTGGGTTCAACCCCGGGCACCACATAAAAATAAAAAGTAAAGGTATTGTGTTCATCTACAACTAAAAAACAATTTTAAAAAGAAGTCATATTAAAAAAATCTATTTGAATAATGCTATAAACAGAAAAGATTATTTATACACGGTGAAAACTGCGTCATGTTTGTTTAGCAATGCTTTAACTAATAAATACCTGACGGGACTCTGTCTCTTAGAGAAAACTGAAACCTGTACACCCACTGCTAGACATGTATAGGGAAGCAACTTCTCGGTAGCAGACAGTGTCCGTTAAAAGCACACCTGGGATTGTTTAAAGCCCTTTCTTTTTATTTAAATTTTCCTATTTTCTCATCCTTTTCCTCTTATTTCTTTTTTTTCTTAGCCATTTCATAGTTAAAGCAATTTTATTGTTCCATCACTATAAAAAGAAAGAAGTTTTTACTCTGGTCTTAGATATGGTTTTTAAGAGTTGTATAAAAAAAAAATTAATGGCAAGGTGACACATGGCTGTAATACCAGCGACTCAGAAAGCTTAGTCGCAAGTCACAGGACTGCAAGTTCCAGGCCAGTGTGGGCAACTTAGTAAAACCCTGTCTGGAAAAAAAAAAAAAAAAAAAAAGTGAATTTAAGACATTGTTCTGATTACTTCAATTCTTCATTGGTAAGAGCAACAATATTTTTACCATTAAAAAAAATCCATTGAATTTGCCATCTAGACAGGCAAAAATTGTTGTAGTATTATTTGAAAAAGTAGCTGTTAATATTTTTGAAAAAATAAGATAAAATGGATGACTCTAAAATCTTATATTTCATGTGCAGGGCCATGGGTGCTATCCTCAGTGCAAAAAAAAAAAAAAAAACAAAAAAATTTGGTGAAAAAAGTTGATAATCAAGTTTGTCTAATTTGTGAGAACCTGATCTAATTGATCTTTCTGCTGTAAAGTTTTAGATGAGGAGATAGTTTCTGTTGCTACTATTAATAAAACAACATATGGCAGTTCAAAGAGCTCAGTGAGAATGGACTGCATAGCTCAGGTCAGTATGGTTAGCCCAGTGATAATACTTATAGCTAACTGCTACTCTCTCAAGTGCTGTATTTGCTACAGGAGTTTCCAGGTGCCTTGAGTCTAGTTTGCTTTCCTTTTGTCTATTGCCATCCTCACCTGCAACCTGTTGGCCTGCAAGGAGTTAGGGTCAGTTAGGAGTTTTAAGGAGGAGAGGTATGAATTTCCTTGCTTCAGTCCAGTTTCAACTGCTGAAAAATGTGTCTTAAACCTAAATCTCTAGTTTTTCTTTACTTTCCACCACTTTTCAAAATTATTTTTCTTTAGGCAAAGAAAACTCATTTTTAACTGAATTGTAGCATGATGGTTTCCTTGAGCATCATGCTTACCTTAATTTCAAGCGCAATAGCACCACCCGATATAGGTAACTTGCTGGTAGGTATTTTCGATGCCCCACAGATTGTATAGCAGGATGAATGGCCCCAACAACATATCCTTTAAGATAATAGTCTTCCACTTTTGTTACTATATCCAGAATTGAATTTATCTTGATAACTTCTGGATTTGGTGAAGCTGAAATATCAAAAGCAAAGAGAAATTTGCACATTAATAGGATTTAATTATATATTATTTCTATCTATGTTCAATAATACCAATGAGTAGGAATATCCATATGGCTTAAACTCAAAAAAGTTACACTATTTTGTATTATATATTTTCTAAACTTATTTCAGAAGAAAGCAAAAGTGATCTTATGAGCTGATATATTAACAATATGTCTTAAAGCAGAAATACAATGCCTTGTATGTTGTTTTTCCAATTGAGGCAGCTTTACTTTTTAAGGTTTCATTTGAGGGACTATATTTCCATTAGTAGAKATTGAAGACAAATATAAAATACATAATAATTCAAAGAGCCAATTGTTTTTATGTTGAATACAATGAGATGCATAATTTCTAAAAAACCCAAAATTCATACAATTTTTTTTTTTTTGGTACTGTGGATTGAACCCAAGGTACTTAACTACTGAGCCACATTCCCAGCCCCTTTTATTTTTTATTTTGAGATGGCGTCTCGCTAAGTTGCTTAGGGCCTCACTAAGTTGCTGATGCTGGTTTAAAACTTGCAATCCTTCTGCTTCAGCTTTCTGAGTTGCTGGGCTTATAGGCATGAGCCACTGTGCCTGCTACAAATCTAAAACTAAAAATGGAAGAAGTGGCATTTGACAAATAGGAATCATCAAGTGCTTTCTTATTTCCAATTAGTCTTCAAAAGTACCATGATTTCTCTGAAATGCTAAAAATACAATTTCTTGTGGCATTTATATAAATGTTTAAGTAAAGGAATTGAAATATAAAGTTATAAAGAAATTCTTTATAAYAAGTAAAAATCTAAATGTAGATGAAGTCTAAATGTAAAATTGATATGCAACTGAATTATCACTTAAAGGAGGGAGAAACTGTAGAAATCTGTACTATACAGTAGCACTATTTATATAGACTAGAATATAAAAGAAAAAATGCATTATTTTAGAAAATATTCTTAATATTCTAGCAATTTTAATTTATATAATTAGCTTATTTTCTGTAATTATGTCTGTTATTTTATGGAAAACATTCAGAATTGTTATCTGGAAATAAGCCTGCACTTTGATCATCTCTTGAGTTGCAATACACATAAAATTACTTCCAGGTATGAGCTGAGTTGGCTYCTGGCCTTCTGTTAGTGTGGTCAGTGGAGTCTCGAAAAGAACTGCRGCTGATTGCCTGAACACAGGAAGAAGGTTAAGAAGCAGACGAGGAAAAAGGGTCAGAGGAAATCCCCTCCTCCCCTTACATTAATATCCACGTGATGGAAAAGAAATTCACCATCAGTGGGTATTTATGCCAACTTCTCAAACTAAAATAAAATACTCAACAGAAAAGCTATACAAGCCAGGATGAATTCATTTCCTCCAATTTTCATCTTCTTTTGGATTTAAACTAATATTCTACTTTTAATACATTTTCTTCATTATGATGAATAGAAATGAAAACAAAGAGAATGATCCTGGACTTTGAAGAAACAGCTGGGCTTCCATGTAAACATCCCAGCCCTGGCTGGTTGTGTGGCAATTATTCCATGATTCATTTGGCTTTACTCTTAATATTTGGACCCTGATTTCTAAACAAAGGAACTGAAAAACTATGAAATAAAATTAAACAAGCTCTTAAGACTAAGGAATGAAATACAACTTATACTTATTTTAGAGATATATATTAATCCTACCATTGCTGAGCATGATATAAAAGAAATCTTCACAGTCTGGCCTCTGCCTGTGGGTTCATATTTCACTCTTATCATGCTATCTTTTGTGCAGCTTGCTTTGGCATGTCATAACTACTGTAAGTTTCTGACCCTGCCACTCTGTCAGGCCACTAGGCCTTCATTTCCTTCCCTGCCTAGTAAATCATCCCTTTCTCTGTGCTGTACCTACTCTCACCAGTGTCCTTGTCAGACTATGTTATAGTTATTTCTTTATATGTCTGTCTTGATGTTAGACTGAGAATTCCTTAAGGGCAAACAAACAAACAACAACAATAACAACAACAACAAAAAAAAACTACCTTATTCATGTCTTTCTGTGTCTATGTTCCTTGAATCACTATGTTAAATTGGAAATAGTGTTTGTTAGGGCAATTTAGAGGCAAAAGTATTACATAAAAGGGGGAAAGAAATCAATGTGAACTAGTGCAAATGAAAAACATTAGGTTAGGGAATTCAGGAACAATTCAGGTTATTCAGACCTTGCAGGAGAGAGGCAAAATAGAAAAAACAGCAGTGATGTGGAATTGTTTTTCATTCTTTTGATCTTGGAAGTGAGGGTGGTCAAGAACATGGTGAGGATCCAGAGTTAAAAAGTAATGTTCACAGGCTGGGGCTGTAGCTCAGTGGTAGAGCACTTGTTTTGCAGATGTGAGACCCTGGATTCGATCCTCAGCACCATATAAAAATAAAGATATTGTGTCCATCTACAACTAAAAAAAAAGTCATGTTCACTCTAGTTCAACTTTACGTTCCTTATGTTAATGATATTACAATGAGAAAAAACATATTGCTAATGAAATAAAAAATACAGTGGCACACACCCGTAATCCCAGCGGCTTGGGAGACTAAGGCAGGAGGATCTCGAGATCAAACCAGCCTCAGYAATGACGAGGCACTAAGCAWCTCAGTGAGACCCTGCCTTTAAATAATACACAAAAAATGGCTGTGGATGTGGCTCAGTGGCTGAGTGCCTCTGGGTTCAATCCCTGGTTACCCTTCCCCCTGAAAAAAAGAGTCATGAGAGGTGAAGCTGCATGGGATTTAATTGGCTCTATGTTGGAGTGAAATTCAGAGAGACATTTGGGACAGGATTGTGCTACAGACAAAGAATAATTCAATGAAGAAGAACAGTGTGGCTTTTATCAAAAGGGTTCTTTTGAGCTTGTGGGCTTGGGAAACTTCTGGGTACGGCTGGCCTTGCTTCTCTGGCTGACTTGGTGGCATTCACTGTTAGGTCACATGTTGCCTCACCTAGTTGACTTTGGCATTATTGCTTGGGAGGAAAACCCAGATATCAAGAACTCAGAGCTGGGAAAAGTCTACTCCCCTGGAGGTATAGGTTAGAGTTCAGAGCAATTTAGGCAGTTTGATGCTCTGTATGTTCTCTGTAATCTTGCTTGCCATCATCCCAGAAAGTGGAGTAATATGGGAGCCAGCACAAAAAGAGTAGCTAATGGGCTCACAAGAGGCACTTATGTTGTTCCTACACAAAGAATATTTGAAATGTTTCAGTTTTTGTATTTTCACCACCTGCTCARCAGTTAATTCTACTATTTTAGTTTTACAGTTCTACATTAAAGATTATATGTCATCTGGATTGTGGTGGTTGTACAATAGGTGGATGTATTTAATGTCACCAAACTATAAACATAAAAGTAGTTAAGATGGTATATCTTACATCATGTATATTTTACCATTATAAAAAAGATTACATGTCAAAGATTTTTATTTTATGTATGTTTAATACATAACACATATTCATATATGTGTGTGTATGTATGTATGT